ATATATATATATATAAAATTAAAGTTCTTAGGTATTGCATTTAATAAAAAAATATAACGAAATTTGAAATAAACAGCTTATAAATCTATGTGAAAATTTATATTTTATTTATTAAATAAATTTTATATGGGAAAGTTACATGCATAGCACTCAATTCTTATGGATTTAACTATCTGGCACCTAAAGTATCATTTTTACACACATAATATTTTACTTATAATGAAAAGATTGATTTGATTATTAAAATGTGATAATGAGTGTCATTTTTATATGATATTTATAATTATGAAAATTTAAGCATGAGATATATAAATATAAAAATTTTGAATGCCATGCAATGCATATAAAAAGCCCCCTTTTATAAATGTATATAAAATGTTTATATTTAAAATGTATAGCATTAAATTTACAATTAAATAATTTTAAAATGCTATATTAATTAAAAAATATTTAAAAATTCCACTAGTGCCACCATTTCTTAACATCATCTTAAAATTATTCTCCTTGAATGAGATTTTTTTTTCTTCATACAATTTTGAAATCCAATCTTTAATATTAGGTAAGAGAACATCTCCTACTTTTACGTACTTAGAAGAGTAAGATGAAAGCAACTCCTTCAATAAACCTCTTTATAGAGGAAGACTATTACGTGCGGCTGATCACACATTTAGACAATGGTACGATCACAACCAGCCCGCCATGAATTGCATCACAATCCATCGAGACCATCGTCCAGACATGCAGCCGACACACTTAATAATTTTTCCTTCGTTAAACCCTGGACGACGTTGATATCCCGAATTAGTCAACTCTTTTAATAAGAAATTACATGATCTTATGGTTAACATTTATTTAATTTTGCATTTTATGTAATTTGCATTATTTTTTAGTCCCCTTTAAAATTTAATTTAAAAAAAGTTATCAATGAATTATTATTTTTACCACATTTTTAATCATACTCCCAAGGTGTCATGCGTTACATCAGCTATCCAAGTATTCCTCCTTCATGATTGATTATCATACAATGACCAAGTTAAATAAATTCAACATAAGTTTAGCAAAAAAATAGACCAAGCCACCAATCATATGCTACCAAAACATAATAATATTGAAGGAAAAAAGGGATAGATTATAGGATAACAAAAGTCTTTAAATGACTAATAAGTATCATTTGGAAGGAATAAAAAAAAAAAGATGAAGCAATTCTTCTAAAAATTAGATAAACATTAATAACAATGTTTAAAAAAAAAAAAAAATTATGCGAGTATGTTTATATTTTATGACGGTATGCTGATCCTATCAGACGGGATTAGCCGTTTCAATGAGATCTTTCATTCTGGTCGGAGGAGAAATTACCAAACGTCTAGCATTTCCTCACGTTTGGCGCCAACGAGTTTTTTTTATTTGAGGAAAAAAAAAAGAATATTATGCCTTTGTTATATCGAATATGAATCAAATAAAGAATAAGTAATAATAGCATGACGCTTCGAGTTCGATATGAACAAACCATTATTGTTTTTATTTTCTAACATGAGGTTTTCAAATTTAATAGCAAATGTACATACACAACATATGCAATGCCTTGAACCCAGAAAGAATAAAGATGGCTAGCATGACATGCAAACCTTTTGTTCCTGTCCCTGCCATAAAAAAGTAAATGTGAAACCTGATGTGATCAAAGACATTGTTGTCTCTCCCACTATGGAAATGGCCTCTCTAAATCAGGTCTTTGATCCAATATTTTAATTGTTGAAGCATCTGGAAATGCATCAGGATACATTGCCTTCAGACTTGACTTCATGCTTCTGTGATAAAACATAGGGGTGGAGGTGTTAAGTAGCTCTATTGACAGAAAAAGAGAAATTTGAGAAATTTTAACCTTATAAATAAGATTAAAACACACTTCTCAAAAAGTTAGAACTTTCTCAATTAGAATCTACATGGGGCAGCTTGTCACTATTTTGTTTTTTCGGATCCCTACCACAGCTTTGTTCGGCTACTATTTAATTACAACTTTACATAAATTTCTCGGACGTAGGATGCCTTGACAAGGAAAAATTAATACATCCGAACTCCGGATGCAAATTTTGCATCTGGAGTTCAGTGAGAGTGCGCCGCGTGGCAAGTGGGGGGGGGGCACCCTTTCTATAAAACCTACCAATCAGTGTATTACAGTAGACCCACTTGCCACGCGATAAGTGCCCACCAGACTCCGGATGCAAATTTGTGTCCGGTGTCCTGATGCAATAATCGCTCCTTGAGAAGATGACATGTTAAAGTGAAATAGTTAAAAAAAACTACTGACATTTTTAAAAATAAAAATATTTAAAATACGCACAAATGCTTTAAAAACAACTATTTTTGATATAATCATCTTTACAAAAAACTGCAACCATTCCATACGAAACGAAAAAATTTTAGCTTTAAAATAAGAGAATTAATTATTAAACTATAAGAAAAAAGCCTTCATTTAAAGTTTTATTAACATTTGATTAGGTGAACCAATAAAATACTTCATAAACGTATCAAACTTTTTTAGTTTTAATTGATTCACCCAACAAAGTGAATCACTAATTTTTTGTGGTGAATACTTTTTCAGGGAATGTAGCAGTATTAGTTAAATAATTAAAGTAAACCATGGTCGTATGATACAGCATACCTAAGTTTCATGAATATGTAGTCAAGGTCGGACTTTATGGAGTTCAAGAGACGTGCATTCCTTGAGAAATCGCCAGAAAGCTGACTGAAACATTGCTCAGAGTACTCGTTGAAATGAGATAGAACTGCATTACTGTCTTGCAGCCTTCCCAATCTGCAATTAGAATTCAGAAATTTTCTAAGGAAAGAGATTATGCATCTAATCCAGTAGATGATATAAACTCTGCATCTAATCAGTAAATGGTTTATATTCTAGCTTGGACGAGTTCCTACTTGTTCACAGCTAAAAGCATTTATTGGAGGTAAGAAAAAACGAAGCGCACTTTCAAGTAGCACATGTGTTTGATTTAAAGAACAGTGATTTCATTAATAGCTCATTATAATCCGAAATTAGCTGCATAGTAAATGTGAAAAAAATTAGACATGGAAATTTTTTTTTTTATGATTTTAAAATTAGATCAGGTTCAATTTTGAATCAGTACTTCGCTGATTCAATCGAGTTTCAAATCTGCTTTCATATTGAAACGAAAGTAACCCATTTGTACCATCAACTGAACGGAAAAGCCAGTGAAATGGTCTGATTTTTTATGAACTAAACTGATATAAAATGACCTGTAGGGAGTCTAAGATAACAATTTGTGAAGCTAGAAATTCTGCTTTTAGTGATTTTTATAATAGATTAGATACTAAAGATGATAAAAAATATATGTATAAACTAGCCAAACTAAGAGAAAAGAAATGTAAAAAACTTACTCAAGTATATTAAAGATGAAAATCAAAAAGTGTTTTTCTTCGAAAAAATATTCAATATAAGTAGGTGCGTTATTTTGATAAACATTTCAATGAAGTTTCTGAAATATGATTGACTTTACTGATCTTAACATCGTTAACAATACTAAAATGTTTCATTTTACCGTCACATTAGTAAAAAAAAATTATGAGGCTTTAAAAAAAACTAAAGGTGGAAATATTTTGGAGATTTGGGAGTTTCTTGACTTACTATACTCTTTAATATTATTTTAAAAACTAAACAAATGTCTGGGCGGATGAAGTGTATCTTTGTCCCCATTTTTAAGAATAAAGGGGATGCACAAGAGTGTGCAAATCATAGAGGAATTAAGTTGATGTGTCATACTTTAAAATTATGGGAGAGGGAAATTGAACATAGATTAAGACGTATTACAAAGATTTCTCATAATCAGTTTGGATTTATGCCAGGTTTGGATTATGAGAAAACTTTGTAATACATCTTAATCTATTTGGATTTATGAGGCAGCCTGCAGGAAGACGTTTGATGGATTTATGCCAAACTGATTAAAATAGATTTCTCATAATCAGTGGTAGCTACATGTTTATTGAGAGGTTTGATGGAGAGGTACAAAGATAATAAGGAGGATCTACATATTATTTTTATTGATTTAAGAAAAGCTTACGATAAGATTTTAAGAGAAATCCTTTGGAGAGTTTTAGAGAAGAAAGGTATTGATATAACTTATATTCAAGCAATTAAAGATACATATACTTGAACTGTTACTTATATTCAGACAGAAGGAAGATTGCCCAAGTATTTTCCTAGTTCAGTTGGATTACAACAGGGATCGACTTTAAGCCCGTAGCTTTTTTCTTTAGTCATTGGTGCTCTTACGAGACATTTATAGAAGGATTTACCTTGGTGTATGTTGTTCACTGATGATATCCTTCTTGTGGATAATACTAGAGAAATAGCTAAGGAAAAACTTAAATTATGGAGGTCTATATTGAAGTCTAAAGGCCTATGTTTGAGTAGAACTAAAACTAAATACATGGAATATAATTTTAGTAGTGGTGGATCTAATGACAGAGTTGTAACTATGGGTGATCAAATCATTTTAAAGGTGTGAACGCTTTAGATATCTCGGGTCTATTTTTCAAAATGATGGTGATAATGATGGTGATATAAAAATGATGGTGATATAAATGGGGATGTTTTTAGTAGAATTCAAGCTTGTTGGTTGAAGTGGAGAAATCATTAGGGCCTATTGTGTGATAGAAAAGTACCACTTTGACTTAAAGGAAAATTTTATAAGATGGTGGTGAGACCTGCAATGCTCTATGGCGCAGAATATTGGTCTTTAAAAGAGAAGCATATAAAACTAAGTTAAGTGTGGCCGAGATGAGAATGCTTAGATGGATGAGTGACTTTATGGATGAGTGACTTTAGTGACTTTACACTTAGAGACAAAATGTGACCGTGATAGGGTTGGTTTAGCTCCAGTGGTAGACAAAATTAGAGAGAGAGGCGTCTTAGATGGTTTGGTCACATTAAACGTCGACCATCGAGTAGATGTCTTAGATTCAAATTATGTTAAGAAAGTTAGAGGTAGAACTAGAAAGACTTGGGCATATTATAAAAAATGATCATTTCTTAGAATTAAATGAAAATAAGACACTCAATAAGATGCAATGGAGAAAAATGATTTATATAGCCGACCACACTTAATGGGATAAGAGCTTGTTGTTCTTGAACATTGCTAAATCAAGAAGAGTTCAAAGAAAATACTACAGAAAATACTTACAATCAATAGTTACGAGCATAGTTCTCTAAAATCAAAGATTATCATTACCAATTTTCCACCACCAATGAGTAACGCTTACTCCCAGAATAAATTCATTTTTTTTATTTTTTTTATTTTTATTTTTATTTTTATTTTTTTTGTTCCAAGTTAATATTAATATAAAGTCTTCTCTTTTTGATTGGGCTACTTAACTTGTGGATCACAAGACTAAAAACTAAAATAAAAAAAATATATTAGTGTCAATTTATTGAGAAGTGTGGCATTACCGATTGATGAGCATCTATACATGCAATAAAACACGCGAAAGATAGATTAAACCATCAAGCAAGCTTGATGACAGTTCATAGCTCACACAAGGTGTGCATAAGGCTTTGTTTATAGGATGTACAATCTATAATGGCATAAAAATTCGACTCTATCATTGTATAATAGCCACTAATTTACATAGGGTCACAAACTTGCTCCATTCTAATTTTTATGCGGTATGAAATATAATTACCATGCCTAATACCATTTATTTTACGAACAAAGAAAAAACTAAATTGAAAAGAACAAATGAACAATATTCATTGCTTCCCACTTGCTAAATATTTGAATCTAAAATTACCCTGGCGATATGTTACACTTCTTTAGAGAATATAACAGAACATTTCTCCCCTCCTAATTAAGAATAGCATCCATATCATCTTTTACATTCAACAAAGGCATTATGCTATTCTCTATAGTTTACCTTCTTATGAATGACAGTACAAAAAGTAGATATTCAGAAAGGTGCCTAAATCAACCAGATCAACTCATCTAGCAGGTTCTCTGCAGCCAGAAATCTGATGTGGCACATGCTTAGTGAACCTCTGAGAAAGCCTGAGACTGGCATCTATGGAAGAGCAACATAACTAAAATGAAGGAAATAATGATAATTTTCCTATGCCACAAAGAAGATACGGAAGAGAAATTCGGAATGAAGGAGACAAGGCTACATGAAAACATACGATAGTTGCAATTGTGCTAATTTCAAAGAAAATATCACAGTTTATTGCACCAAAAGAATTGATGGACATGGTTTTGGTGAAAGAAATGGCAAAATAGGGCCAAAAATAGGATCTAGATGATGTAGGGCTATGAATAAAATGTTGGATATAACAGACAAAAAGACCAAAAGACTAGGTCCATCACGTAAAGAAGAGGACCTTCAAATTCACAGTACCTGTGATACCGAGTTAACCTAAAACTCCAGCAGAATAATACTTTTATTGCTGAAAATAAAAAAAGGTTTACAAACAAGGCACTTAAAAACAGGAAAATAACGACGCACACAAAAGTACGGTGTAGGTTGGCGAGGTAGTGCTGTGGTTTGAGGGGAAGTAAAGGCTATGGAGGGTTGTATGATGGAAGGACAGCAACGTAGTGATTGTTTGGCAGGATTGAGTATGTAGGAAGGTGGGCAGCAGCAGAGAAAGGGTAAGGGAATTACAACAGCTTGCGGGAGTATTGGTTGGGGACTGGCGGTAGTAGGCAGGAAGGAGGGTACAATTAATGGTAGGCTACAAAAAGGTTGGCTGGAGGCTGGCGACAGCAGGCAGAGGGACCAGATCGGCGGCAGCAGGCAGGTGGACCGGATCGGCGGCAGCAGGCAAGAAGGTGAGAGGTAAGTTACGGCAGCCTGCAGGAAGACTCGAGTGAGGGGTCAACAAGTAGTAAAAGAAATGATACATACCACTTCGAGACGGGCTACAACCATAGCACCTTCTCACTATCAGATACAACCCTAGAAGGGAAAACAGAACGTCTGAGACCGTCTTGATAGAAATCTCAAAGCGAAAAAACTAACCCTAAACAATGAAAAGAACATATTTATAATAGTAGATAACTAAGGAGGGGGAGACCCCTCTCCTTGGGCGGCCAACCTAGCCCAGACCAAGGGTCGACCAGCCCTTGCCCAATCAGCTAAACCGGCTAGCCCAAACTCAACTAGTTTAGCCCAGATCAGCTCCCCCAAGCCCTCGAGTGTTTTGTGAGAATTTTCCTTTTAATCTTGAATAAAAACGGCATATAAACTAATTAGAACTTTTCTATGGAGCCCTAGCACACCCAACTAGATGTCGCACCCATGTTGATCACATGTTGAACACACGCTCAACAAGGACATGGTTCCAACACGCTCCTACATGTGTTTGGTACTACAAGAAAATTTTCAAACTTTTTCAAACATCAACACACCCGAGAAACATTTGAGCACATCTGGGCATAGAGCTGAACATGGAAAAATAGAGCACGACATAAATGAGACATGACAGGAATATAAAAATTATAAAATGGTGTAAATTACCATAGCCCTAAATCATACTAACTCATACCTAATAGTTAACATCACCAGTTAACATCACCTCGCTCTCAATCCTAACCCCACGTCGAAGCTCCATCACTTGTTCGTTGATTCCAAAGCCACAAATAAATGTCAAAGTTAAAGCCTCAAGCCTCATCTTTGAGTGCTCTTGTTGTCGAAACCGAAGTGGCAAACCATTGCACTATGCCAAAAGTTTCTCATTGTTCATTGCCCTACGTCAAAGCTCCTTGTTTGTCAAAGCCGAACAAATCGAGA